GCCACTCTCGGTAGAGAGGCTCATTGCTTGCCTTTTATTTGCACTATTTTCACTATTTTTCACAGTTTTCTTCTTTCTTCCTTCACATTTTGTCTCTCTCGAGGGACGAATCCCTGTTCTCACTTTGCCATGGGCTGTTGGAAATGCCCTGTGTTTTTCACTTCTGTTTTTCGCCCTTTCGTTGGTTTATTTCTTTACCTCGTTCCCCACACACATCAAAACTGCCGGCCACATCCCAAGCCCATCAGATGCCCTCTTGGCAACACAGAACCCGGCATCCAGGCACGGTTATCCAGTGCCCTGGGCACTGATCCCTGCTCCGTGGCCCCGCTGGGATCAGGGCTCCCGCATCCTGAGATGCTCCGCAATGCAGGCGGGATCTCAGATTCCCAGCGGGAAGCAGCCGCTCCACTGAATCCCTTGGGTTTTTCTCATGTTTTGGAAAGATAAGGAGGTTTTCCAGGCGTGTTACACCTGGAAATGGATACGGGCAGCCATTGCAACCCCAACAGGGTTTTGTGTTTCCTAATGCTGCCACTGCTTGTCACACAACTCAACAGCACTTCATATTTGCAAAACCTCTGTGTCACCCATTTCTGGTCGAAATAGGCCAAAAATGTTGAAGAGCTTATGCGCAGGAGGCCCTGAAAAGCACTGCAATCACCTAAAGCTCATTTCTTTAGGGAAGGAAATTGCGAGCTGGGATGGGAGAAATAAAGCAAAAGGAAGAAGGTATCAAATCTACAAATCTCAGAGCAAAAAGTTACCTTAGAAGCAGGGTTGCCGTGGAGAAGGTGTGCATTTCCAACTCAAACACGGCTCTGGAAAGCGCTTCCAGCCACGTTCCTGCAGCTGCAGAGATGCTGCAGGTTGGCAGAAGCAAAGCAGCAGCAAAACACAGGCTCCGATGCCAAATCTGGGTATTCCTAGAGGCTATAAAATAAGAAGGTAGGTCACCACCTTTTGGGCACTGCTAGTGGGGTGCAACAGTCCCGTTTGGAACAACCCTGCAGGGAAGAGCATCAGCATCTCTAGACAACGGGTCACAGAGGGCTCCAAGTCCTCACGGATGACATTCTTGTACAGAAACACAGAAGTAGCACGATAGTATTTCACAGTCGCAGCTTCACCTACTAGGGAGGATAAGGGAAATAATCTATGATCCCTCCCTGCCAAAAAAAATGAAAATATGATTGGTGGGACTATCCTAGAGAGGATACACACCGAATTCCCAAATGTGACCAAATCCCTTAAAAGGTAGAAGAAATAAAACACCGATATTTGGTGAGTTCAACAGGGTTTCAGAATGACCTGGCGCTATCAGATGTCACCACGTGAAGAGGACAGGCACGAAGTGCAATGCCAGCAGGGCAGGGCTTGGAGAGGGAGCGGGCGGTTTTCGCATTGAAGTCATTATTACCAGTATGTCAGAGTGACCTGTTCAATGAAAATGAAGAAACGGCTTTGAACAGAGTTCAGGCACACAAAAAATCACACAGGGTGTTCAAGACAGGAAAAAATATATGATGAAAATGACCAGAAACGCATGGAGAACCACTGTTAAATGCAGCTTAGTTTCTCCAACCCATGCTGCTGAAACTGCAGGGTTTCCTTCAAGAAGCTGATCCTGTAAGAAGTCTCTTGCAGCAGTGCTTCTTCCTAGCTTGTAAATGCCATTTGAGCAAATTATTTTTGCTCTAAACTTACGCAAAGGTGGAGATCGTCTCCCACGAGCCTGCAAGAGATTGTGAAACACGGAGAGGCTGGGCCTGGAAGCTGTGAGCAGGGCTGGTTCCCTTCCATTCCGCATTACTTTGGGGCTAAACAGCGTGGAAAGGGTCTTTCCGTGCTACTTTGCGTAGGGGCTAATATTGCAGTGCTTGCAACCACCACCGTGTAGGTAATAGTGTGAAACAGCTCATCTAGAGAAAAGGATTGAGACGGGCTCTCCCTCCTGCTTCAGAGGGCTAAACACGGGCTTAAACCACTTCTCCTTTTATCACATGAAGTTGGTAAAGCAACTTTGTGCTGTATCACTTTGCGTGGCAGCATGAAGAGGGTTGAAGAGGAAGCCGCATTTTGCTTTTCCCATCGAATAATGAAAAGCAGTTGGTTTTAAGACAGCAGCTGCTTTTGCAATGTCCAAAGAGGCGTTTGGACTGACTAGAGAAGATCCTTAACAATATAAATGAAAAGAAGCTGCTGCATTAGGCTCCTAAATGAATGGGAACGTCAAACGTAATATACTTAGTATGTGCAATGGGCCAATACTCCTCAAACTGTAAAAAAAAAACCATTGCAAGTTAAGGCTGAGAGGAACAGCAAAATACACAGAAGAAACATTTTTGTACTTTTGCTCTCCTATTTATCTCTTCAGTAAATATATTTCTCTGAATGTTGAAACTCAAATCTGTTCACTACCACTTCTAAAATGCAGAAGTGTTTTCACTATTACATAAATTACTGTAGTTTCAGCCAGGGCTGTTACAAGATTTCAAAGCAAAGCAAAAAGAAAGGAAAAAGGAACAGTCCCACAGCACAGAAATCTAGTCAGTCCTTGATAAAAGCCTGCAGTCTCTGTCCTGTGTCCTTTTCAAAGTGGCCATAAATAAATAATATTCATAATAGGGTATTGAAAGCAAAAACATGTTTTTTGTACCCCCTGTAAAGTGAGCTACTTGGCATTTATGTTATGAAGTACATTACTTGTGGTATGTTACACTTAACTAGAGGAAATGCAGGTAAACAATAACCCTATTGTTAGAAATGCACCACTCCATGAGATTTATATATTCATTCACACTTCAGATTTAATGTGTATAAATCTTACGAGCAAATTATTTAACTGTCTTAATTTATCAAGATATCTGGGCAATTCCTAGTGCCTGTTTGCCCATAAACCCCGTTGCCCTAAGGAACCAAAAGCGTGGCTAGTTAAAGGTCTCCACGCTCACTTGTCAACAGCCCTTTGTCTTCCACTCCCCTATTTGCCTGTTTTTTTATAAATGAGAAATATTTTGTGTAGTCAGAATTTCTGCTTCTTATTTATTTTTATTTTTCTGCCTACCCCTCTTTCTCCTCGTTCCAAACGCTGCTCCGCTCATCTGCCTACACCCTTCATTTGGGATCACTTGCAGTTGATAAGGACCACATTTATGCTAACCCCATATAAGCTGTCATTAACGTGAAATAGTCGTGTTTGCACAGAGATTTACGCCAGTTTATCTTTATTGTCTTAAATAAACAAGAGTAATTTGTGAGTAGGCCTTGGGGACAAGAGCTTTGTTTCTGAGTTAATAGGAGGCTCTGGTCCAGCAAGGATTTTTGGGCCTCTTTGAATCTATGCGATGAATGAGGTAGATGAAGGCAATGGGATCACTCCCAGAAACAAAATGCAGCATAAATGTAAACCTGGGGGTGATTATTTTTTCTATCATCTTTATTCCATTTTTTTTCTCCAGTTCCATTTTTGTTTTTTTCCAAGAAGCTGAATTTAATTCATCATTACAGTGAGATCTACACAATAAAAAAATAGTTTGTGCTTCCTTAGGAAGGATCAAAATAAACCAATTTATGCTGTGATCAGTTATTGCAATACAGTCTGTTTCTGTTGTACACTGTGTAAGATGCACTATGCTAATTAAGCATATGTTTGTATAGATTAGTCTCAATGAGATTTACCCCAGTTTTCTACACCATCTGTGCGAGATTGGGAGCCGAGTTGGAAGTGATCTCTGTGTATATTTTCTATATTAGTTTGTGGAGTATTTAGACTCCTTTGAGGTAAAGATTTTATCTGGGTTATTATTGGTCTTGCGAAGCTTTAGTTAGAGATCTTGAATATTCTCTTTGAGCTTTCAAAAAACAGTGATTTCTGACAGTATAATTTAAATAGCTATTGTTATTCTGATGAACAGCACAGATAAAGTGAGAATTCAGAGAACCAGAAAATAATCTTCCTTACTTAGTTTTATTCAGAGATATAAAACATATATTACTGTTGTACAGGTGAAGATACCACAAACTAAAAATGTTGCTGTAATAAAAAAAAAAAAGAGGCTTTAAAAATATACCAGGGTTTTATCATCACGGAACTGTCATGTTGTTTATTTTGGATCCTGGCATTTATCATGATAAATAACCAATGCAGAAATCCCTTCACCTTCTAACAACCCTTGAAATTCGTAGCTGCTTCTGTGCGGCCTGCGGGGAAGGTTGTGTTGGGGCCTGCACCTTTGCCAGCCGCGTTTCCAGGGAATGGGGTGACGTTAAAACAAACCCTCTGCTCTGAAGGTGCCCGGCGCACTGAAACCTGCCCTCTGCAGAAATCGTGTTTTCACAGAATCCCAGGATGTTTGAGGTTGGAAAGGGCCTCTATAGCCCATCCAGTCCAACCCCTGCTGCAGCAGGGACACCCAGAGCAGGGGCACAGGGCGGCATCCAGGCGGGTGTGAAGATCTCCAGAGAAGGAGCCTCCACAGCCTCTCTGGGCAGCCTGTGCCAGGGCTCTGGCACCCTCACACCAAAGAAGTTCTTCCTCACATGGAGGTGGAACTGCCTGGGGTTCAGCTTGTACCCGTTACCCCTTGTCCTGTCACCGGCCACCACAGAGAAGAGCCTGGCCCCATCCTCCCTACACTCTCCCCTCAGGTACTTGAACATGTTGGTCAGATCCCTCTCAGCCTTCTCTTCTCCAGGCTGAACAGGCCCCGCTCGCTCAGTCTCTCCTCACACGACAGATGCTCCAGTCCCTCCATCACCTTCGTGGCCCTGCGCTGGCCCCTCTCTAGCAGCTTCACATCCCTTGACATGGAGGAATTTTGCCCAGTTGTGCTCATGAAGGCCCTTTGCTGGCAACCACCAGTCGCTTTGATCTGTAGGGAATCTGCTCAGCTTCAGCTTCCTGCCCTTAGATCTCACTATACCTTCTTTTATACTTTTTTCTTGCTTATGTTTTGCTGGACTGATGTCTTTAGTCATACATGGAACTATTTGGTGAGTGGGAGCAAGTTGCACCCCAGTGCATTTCTTAGGTAAATGACGGAGTTTATTTGGCGTTTGAGCATAAGGCAAGTTCCCAGATTTCAACATTTTCCCTGAATCCTCTTTAGCTCTGCAACTTCCTTTCCGAAGCACGGGCACTGAAACCACACAGCCCTTTGCTACGCTCACGGTGCCAAAACACTTCTCCACCTTTATTCGGTTGTCTTCTGCTTACACATTCAAGGGCCTCCTTTTGTCTCTTGGCTACTGCGTAAAACTAGGAAGTACTAGAAGTAGGAATATATGTTTTCTGCAGTGACCTGTAAATCCTTTTTAGAGTCCCTGCTTTCCAAAATGCAGTCCCTGCTCTTAAAGCTGAGATGTGCATTCCTGATTCCTTGAGACAGCTGTCTTAAAAGCACCCATCTGAGTTACCACATTTACTGCGCTGTGCAGATCGGGCTATAAAAGTAATTTGTCAATATTTATGAAACATGGCAGTAGGAAAAGCCTCCCAGCCTACAGCTGCAGGCAAGCAGAGCTTCTGATTTGTCAGGCCTTCCACTAAGGTAAAGAAAGTTCAGTATCAAATCCTTAAATGTTTTTGGGATACTATTGTCACTGAAAGTGTAAATAGAGAGGCTTGTCTTCTGATAGATGTAACGAAAACAAATGTGAAACTACAGCCTATACGGGCTGGCTTCTTCATGCCAGTTTGACAGAGCTGCAGGAAAACATACTACAGATCATATACTTTTAAGCACTAGGCATAGTGAAGACAGAGCACATACGCTGCAAAAGTCAGAACTTAATCAGCTTGTTGATATATCCCAAAGCAGGGAATGAGGCAAGAAAGAGCTACAAATGTCTTGGAAGACATTGAGGATACACGTGGTGCACAAATAAACAGCAGCGCCAGCTCAATTAGCAACAGTGTTTGCAGAGAAGAGCAAGAAACAAAGGAAAATGCTGGAGTGTTGTGTACATTTATTTCAAGAGAATCCCCTTGCAAACCTGCAGGAGCAGCAGTTTGTATCTGCAGAGATATGTAATCTAGCAGACCCACAAAACATCCCTCTGGAGAAATGTCTCGCTCCCCATCCACTCGAAGAATAAAGCACAAGTGTTTTGTGCCTCAGCCTCTAGCAAGGCATGAAAACTGTCTCAAAACCCACGCTGGGAGGGCTGTGACCAGTGGCACGAAGCCCAGCGGGAGCTGGTCACTAGCCATGTCCCCCGGGGGTTGGCAGTGGGGCCAGCACTGTTGAACATTGTCCTCAGCACAAGAAAGGCAGATTTACGGGAGCAACGGGCCCTGAGGATGGGCAGGGGACTGGAGCATCTCCCGTACGAGGAGATCCGGGAGAAGAGAAGGCTGCAGGGATCTTACCGGTGTGTATAAATATCCAATGAGAGGGTGAAATCCATTGCAAAAACACAAAAGTTAACCCGATGGAAGGATTTAAAGCAAACGTTGGCAGTTTTTTTTGGAGTCCAACGATCCAGCTGCCACCTGTGTGTAGTTTTGACCCTAACTGTGCTGAATATAACCAGAGGTTTCTCCTTAAATAACACAGCTGTTAGGTGCTCGTCCCCTTGCAGCACCATTTCACCTGTGTGAATCCTCAAGTGGCCCTGACAGGTAACATTATCATAAGACAAAGCGTTGAAGGACCTTGAATGACGGGCAATATTAGAGTTGAATTTTACTTATGAAACTCAGCTTGCTTCTGGCCCACAGGTGAGAAAAAC